AATCCGATACTCGTTATTTGGCTGAGATCGGACCGATATCAATATCGGATCGGGACACCCCTAGAAACTAACTTGTGCCACTTCTCTATTCATGCTTTGTATCCAGGTTTTGASTCTGCTGATAAACTCGGCATACAAGCCCAGCCGAGTGCTGCGAGAGCTGCAGCTGGATCAGGAGAGCCGCTGGCAGGGCCATGGAGAGATACTCAAAGCCAAGTAAGGAGAAGCACTCAGTCATCTAAAGCTCAGCTCCTCAGAAAACTTGCTGGAATAGAACAAGTGTTCACAGCTGGTCTATTTAGGGAGACCTGGTGGAATCAAAATGTTCCTGAAGCACAAATAAAAGCGGTGTCTGCACAGCAGAGCCCCTGCTTTCATTTCTGATTCTATTTAACTTCAAGAAAATGTTTGATCCAACAAATTTGAGAGGTTGAAGTGATTTTAAAAACAACAGGCGCGTTTTTGCCGCTGCTTTGATTTTATTCAATATTACCGGTTTTTCCTTTCACTGTCAGGTACAAGGGAAAGAGTTACAGAGCCACAGTGGAAATTGTTCGCACTGCAGACCGTGTGGCAGACTTCTGCAGGAAGACCTGCATCAAACTGGAGTGCTGCCCAAACCTGTTTGGACCTCGCATGGTTCTGGAGCACTGTTCCGAGAACTGCTCTGTCCTCACCAAAACCAAATACAGTACGTATTTTACTCAGGGAGTTTAAACTAAATTGTCTGACTACATCCTTACTTAAAGTGGTAAATATTTGTCCATTAAGATTTTTATTTGTACTCTTTGAAGTTAATTTCACCTTTTTCCAGATATTTGCATTTATAAATGTATAAAATATTCTGTGGATTGTATTTATTCATTGAATCTTAGAGAAAAAGCGCTAGAATAACTCAGAACATCAAAAAAGCAGATTTTTATTATTATTCTTCTTAACAAGAAGTCACATGTTTGTCAATGTTTTTTGCAGCTGCACCACGGATTTGGGGTGATTAAACAAACATTTGATTGCACATTTTTCAAATCACTTTGACCCATTTTGCCAACATATTTATTAGTTCAGTTCTTTTTTTTTTTTTGGAATAATTGTAAGTTTTCTGCAAATAGACGATCTTTAATGTCGGTGCTATGTTAATTCCACCAGTATTGTTAGATGCATTATTTCAAAGGGGGTATGTTGATTTCTCACCAGCTTATTACTATGGAAAGAAAAAGAGTAAACGTGTTGGTCGTCCTCCTGGGGGACACACTAATTTAGATAGTGGCGTGAAGAAGAGAGGAAGGCGGAGGAAGCGGAGGAAGCAGCTGTTTGTCCACAAGAAGAGACGCTCTTCAGCCTCGGTGGATAACACACCTGCTGGATCTCCTCAGGTAGAAGACGGACATTTTCTTCATTAAGTTGAGTTATATATAAAGACATTTACTTAAATTATTTTTTTTTTGTCCTGCAGGGCAGCGGGGAAGAAGAAGATCTGGATGAGGATGACTCCCTGAGTGAAGACACCGGCTCTGAGCTGCAGGATGATCTCCAAGACGATTCTGAACAGTCGGTCGGTAAATCTCAGCCCACCACACCGTCCCCCTCCCCACCAGCGACGCCCAGACCCTCACGCAGACGCCGGAAACCTCGCTCCCCCTCCTTCTCTGATGATGAGAACCACCCACCTTCACCCAAAGTAAATGAGGGAAAAAAATTCATATATTTTTCTAGTTTGAAAGTAGTTTGAACACTTTATTTAATAATAATGTTCTGTACCACTGTTTAGCACGGCGTTTATTTTGTTTTATAAAGCTCTCTAGTGTCAGTTTTCCACTAATGCCACTTAGTGTAGTGTCGGTACGGTCAGTGTCAGAACGGGTCAGTTCGGGTGCTTTTCCATTGATGTTCCAGTCTGGTTTCAGTGGGTGTGTTTTTGGGTGGTTGTTGGAGGTAGTTTTGGGTTTTTTCAAAAAAAAAAAAAAAAAGTTAATGCACAAAATGAGAGATAGAAACACATTTGCCGAATTAGTTCTGAAATGTTAAAAATTTGCTAAAAATTGGAATTAAAGTTGGATTGAAACACGACTAATGTCGCCGCTACAATTGGAAAAAATGGTGCCTCGAGTTGTTGTAAAGGCAGCTCAGACGCAACCAGTGACTCCACCCCCTAGCCAATCARTGACGAACAGTGTTCTGATGTCACATTTTGGTGTCAGCTGGGACCACTYGGAACCACAACAAAGTAGGTACTATAAAAAGGGCTGGTCCCATGAATCTGGCCTAATGGAAATGGCTTGGAACCGTACCGACACTGCAGTGGCACTAGTGGAAAAGAGGCATAGGTTATCAGGGACACAAATGATGTTTCATTTATTAAATGTTTGGATTCCATTCTCTGTTTTTCTAAGCTGAGAGTTTGTGTCTGCAGACGTCAAAGGTTGAACCTCCTCAGAAGCTGTGTTTGGACACCAGCCCACTGGAGTGGACCGTTTCTGATGTGGTTCGCTTCATCAGGACTACAGACTGTGCACCTCTTGCAAGGATTTTCTTGGATCAAGTAAAACATATTCAGACTAAATAGCCACTAAATGTCATGTGAAAGTTATAAATAGTCAGTAAAATAACAAATCCAGATGGAAAAAATTAAAAACAATTATTTCCAAAAACTGCATCTCACTTAAAAATGTGTTTACAGGAGATTGACGGRCAGGCGCTGCTGCTGCTGAACCTTCCAACAGTGCAGGAATGCATGGATCTGAAGCTGGGCCCGGCCATCAAGCTGTGCCACCACATAGAGAGGGTCAAGCTGGCGTTTTATCAACAGTTTGCTACGTAGCCGATGCAGAAGGTTGATGGGACACGTTTGAACATCCTGTTCTGCATTTTCATCCTGAGAAAATGTGGAACATGTACAGTATTAATTTGTTTTCTTTAAACAAAAACACACTGGACATTTTTATTTTAAACTTGTTGAAACAAACCTGAGTCCGAGACAGGTGAAGCAATGTTTCCTGATCCTCAGGGATGAAAGAGCCAAGAAAGTGGAGAAAAACAAAATCAAAAACATTGTGTGAGCTTATTGGGTAAAAGGCACAGAAGGAAGACAGCCTGATGCACTGAAGTTTTAAGATAAAAGATAAGCGTGAACTTGGCACACTTTAGTGTAAAAATCTAATCTATTTTCAAGGATTTGCTTTCAAAGTAATGGATGGTTTCTATAAGTATTTAAAATAAAGTTTGATTTGTTTTTTTCTTTAGGTTAACAATTTTGATTTTCTAAGTTCCCTCCTCAGTCTTGTTCCAGAGCTGGAGCGAATGAACTGCAGCTGTAATTTCTTCTCTCTTAAGATGGGCAAAAAAAAAGGAGCCTTTTAACATTTTATACTTTGCCCATGATTATTATGAATCTTCTGCCCCCTGTTGTGACTTTTGAAACTACAGACAGTTCCAGCATATGACCACACTGGAAGCCTTTGTGCTGTGCTCAGGTTTTTACAGTAGTTGTGCTTAAAAAAAAAAAGAAAAATAGTTGAGTCAGGTCTTCCTTTCCTCGGAAATCAAACAAGAAGTTGCATAAAACAGCTAAAAGGAAGCACTAAAAAAGGAAATTCTGGTAAACATTTTCAACACATTGCTGGTAATGTGTTGAGTTGTAAACATGCATTTTTAAAAAAATTTATCAGACTTTTTTTTCTTAAGAGACCAAATTATTGTCCAGATTTTCAGAGGGGGTTACATTATCCTGTGATGAAAGCACAAGAAAAAACATGTGCCATTTGGTGATTTACCACAGTGCATGTTTGTACATAGTGTACATAATTAAATCTTTTTAGTGCAACAGGGTGATTTGAAAGAATATATTGTCTGCATAAGAAATGTGTAAATCTCCAAAATTATACAGTATATTTGCACAGAATAGGCCTAAACTTTCATACATGAGTTAAACAAAGCAACGAGTCATATCTGAGGAGTAGTTTTAACAGGTGACTGCTGTTTTTAAAATGCTTTTGTAATTTGTTCTTTCCATGTAGTGATTTAATGTACATGTTTATTTTGTGCGATAGAGACTTCCATTGTCTGCTAATTTGTTGGTTCGTTCAAAATATTAGAACAAACTTATTTGTTGTTTGAAGGTCATTACTTGTATTTAAGAAAACAAACACTGCAATAATAAAAAAAAATAAGAAAAATGAATGAACCTGATCATTAGCTGTATTTTACCCAGCATGCAGTTCGCGGCTACGTTCAGGTCACGTGATTCGGCGCCTGTCAACATGAGTGGGCACAGCTGGGTAGGGAAGAGGCTGCAGATACGCGACTTGTGATCCGGTTTTTTCCCCTATTAATTCCTACAGAATACAGATTATTTTTAGACTTGTAAATGATTGTTCGCGTGTAGTTTCGGACGCGAGGAGAATTTCCCTGCGTCAGTCCCGTTGTGTTAGCTTAAAATCAGGAGTTTGCGGTCGCGAGGTTAGCGGGGTGAGTACACGCAGCATCTGTCGCTGGACCGGGTTGACTCTGGATGTTGTGTCCGGGAGATTTGGTATTACTGTTGGATGCTGTGAACTTGAACCCACCGGAGTGGATTTAAAAGCACTCGCCGTGTTTAATTTGGCTATGTAGCGCGTGCTTAGCCGGTGATGTTAGCATGTACGAATCCAGGTTGAAGCAGGAACAGTTCTCAGTCAGAGGCTTTTAAAATGTCGTAGCTTTTGTCGTGAATTGTTGACATTTTATTGTAGCTAGTTACTCGGAAAGCTTCCCTGCTGTAATTACAAAGCAGCTGTAGCCGTGTGGATGTGTGGAGCAGGAGAATGAGCGCGAGCTTCATCAGACGAGGATGCCGCCGTCTTTCGACTGAGACCGTCCTGACCAGCGTTTCTCTAAGCTGACCAGCATCTGCAGGAGAGAACTGGCTTTTCTGCTCCTCCGACTGTCTGTGAAGCGGCGGAAATATGGCCGGAGAGGGAGACTTGCTCGCGGTGTCTGTCGCCAACACGTCGGTGGTCTCCAGCCCGACCCCGGGCAGCGATAACCGAGGCTGCGAGAATGGCGCCCTGATGGACTCCTTTGGGATTTTCCTGCAAGGCCTGCTGGCTGTGATGGCTTTCAGCACGCTCATGTGTGAGTATGGTCAGACACCYGACACTAGCTGCTGATGTTATCCAATTACAGGTGGATTTATCAAATGACATRCTGACCTCAGCTGGCAGCATCAAAGCCGCCGACCCCTGATAAACCCACTGTTACACTGCACCCACAGGGGCTCATGTTCTCTCTCCTTTATTGTTTTTTTGTGCATTCAAACCTCATCCTCAAGTGCTGCTATCAATTATGGAGGACCAAACCTATCATTATTGGAAATAAATGTATAAATATATAACTGGTGTAT